CCTGCAATTCAGGAACCTCACAAGCAACCTGAAATAAGCGTTTAAAAAAAAAAAAAAAAAAAAGAAAAGAAAAAGGAGAAAAAGGTAATCAGCATACCAGCAGCTGTTCTTCTTCAAACCATGGTTCCCAAGCATACTGCAATTGGACAAGCTATAGCTTATCACATCAAAAGCCATCTAGAAGATTCAGTTATTGGTACTGGCCATGTCGGCATTCGCTCACTGTAAGCATCTGCAGGACAAGTCCATGGACCGAATGACCTTGTGCACCCATCCTTCTGTCTCAGCTGCAAGAATAATCCTCACTCCCAGCCATTTCCAGTTTTCTTTCTTACAAAAGATGAAAGATATAAAGAAGCTCTTCATTCAAAAGTTACTTGATTATACAAACAACTAAATTCCAGCCTGCTTTAATCCAAAGTGCCATCTAGTTTGCATACAGAGAACTAGGGTGCATATAGGAAAGAACGCACGCACACTCTAGTTTTCAATGGCCAGAATATCATAATAAACACATAGAAAAACAGCCTTTACTCTGGAGGCTTGTATGGCAAAGCCAATTGTTTGGACCAGCTCATTAATATACTATATCTAGTTTGTCAATTCCAGCTACGAATTTTATATGTCATTATGATCAATGATTGTGGAAGCCCAAAGGGCAATCTCTCATTTTCAACAGACCTCCTTTTTGACTGAGATGGAATTTATTACATTTAAAATTCATCACTCCTCTTTGTTTGCAACACTGTCCTCTGACAAACTCCTCAACACAATCAGCTCAAGTCTTCTACCTGAATTTCTGGGATGACTGTGACAAGTATTCCTTCACGATGCTCAGATGTGCACCGTCTCCCATGAGCATCTTGCTGGACGCAGCATGCTGCAGCATCTTTGCAACAAACCAAGGTTTCTTCGTTGATCTGCAGTCAGCTGCCCTCCAGCTGCAAGATCCATTAGGTCAAATGCATCCAGTGCCACCATGGCCGGATTCACGTAGCGGTGATAGAGTAAGTTGCCAACAATCAAGGACAAGTTGAGGAGAGAAAAAAACACGTGGAAAACCAATGGCACAGACCTCCACTGACTTTTACTGACACTACTCCGAGTGAGTTCTGACCAATTACTTTCCAGTGAGCTTTCTGTACCACATGCAGACACGCTCTCTAGAGTCAAGAAGGTCACCTGCGATACGCAGTAGTACCTCAGGTCGCAAATAAATCAGTGAAAACACAAGCTGCACATTGCAGTGTTAAGATAGTAACTCACGCAGCGTGCTGCGCTGGGACAGTTGTCTTTTACTTCATAGCATTGCTTTTCCACCACTTCCCTTCAAGTGCCTTAAAAACAAAACAAATACAACCAACAACAGAATCCTCAAAATCTGGTCAACATCAAGCACTGGAAGAAACACAGAACTCTGACTGGGGACGGATGGGAGCCCATCAAGACTTTATAGACACAGATTAAAGGGAGGACAGGGACAGATGACGTAGCGGGGGATCTACAGGCCAACCAACCAGGATGACCACGTGGATGAAACCTTCTCATGGGCAGACAGGAACAGCTGCATGCTGTGATTCTATGAACACGGCCTGTGTTGAGAAGGAGCACAATGCTCATCTCGTTCCAACCCCCCGCTGCGTGCAGGTTCACCAACCAGCAGCCCAGGCTGCCCAGAGCCACATCCAGCCAGGCCTTGAATGCCTCCAGGGATGGGGCATCCACAGCCTCCTTGGGCAGCCTGCCCGAGTTGTGGGCAGAGATTGGCTTGGTAGAGTAAGAGCTACGGTATCTGTATCTATGAGTTAACACAGAAGAAATGCTTTGGGGCTTTTTTTGGCCTACCTCTTCATGAGATTCACTTCTAATAGTCTCAACACCCCTGTCACAAGATGATCTACTGCGTCCAGTTCTGGGCTCCCCAGTACAAATAAGACAGGGATCTCTTGGAAAGAGTCCAGCGGAGGGCCACGAAGATGGTGAAGGGCCTGGAGCATCTCTGCTATGAGGAAAGGCTGAGTGAACTGGGTCTGTTCAGCCTTGAGAAAAGAAGACTGAGAGGGGACCTGATCCAGGTCTATAAATATCTAAGGTGTGGGGGGCAGAATGGTGAGGCCAGACTGTTTTCAGTGGTGAGTGGAGACAGGACAAGGAGAAACGGCTGGAAACTGCAGCATAGGAAGTTCCGCACAAACATGCGCAAGAACTTCTTTACAGTGAGGTGACGGAGCACTGGAACAGGCTGCCCAGGGAGGTGGTGGAGTCTCCTTCTCTGCAGATGTTCAAGACCTGCCTGGATGCCTACCTGTGCGACCTGGTGTAGGGAACCTGCTTTGGCAGGGGGGTTGGACTCGATGAGCTCTGGAGGTCCCTTAAAACCCCTACAATTCTGTGATCTTTATACCTTTCAGAAGAAAGCCATCTCGAGCTGATGGAAAAAAGCTGGTAGCAATTGGACAGATGCATGCAATGAATACAGGGATGGTTCGGAACGATTAACAGAGCAATGCAAAGCAGCTGAGCAACTTTCAGAAAAAAACAGTAGCAACAGCTTCCATACCCGGCCTCACCATTCTGAGATCCCATCTGGTTCACCCAGCACTTGTAAATATCCACTGGATCCGTTCTGACGTTGAGCGATTCGTCCTCAATTATCTCCTTCACAACTGGGGCCAAGATCTGCCTCAGTGCGTTCTGACCACGGGCACCACGGTTGAAAGAGCGCATCTCAAAAATACAGAGGAAACAAAGGGACTTCTACACAGGCACAACTATTTCCTTTCAGTATTTAAACAAGTAAGCAATCAGCAACAAAAGCCATTCACAGCATGCCGCTATGGGAAATCCAGCAGCAGAGAATAAAGCATAGACATGCACTTTCCTGAACTACTACTCCAAAAAAAGATAATAATAATTAAACAAACCTTTTAGGCGTTACCTGTTGGAGGGCACATACCATCCTCACACTTAAAAACATCAAAAAAGGCATGACTGCCTCCAACATTACATGTATTTGCTATTCCTAGCAAGTTGTGAAGCTCCGTATCAGCCAGAAGTCATAAACACCAAACTCCTAAGTGGCAATCAACTCAATTATGCCGACAGACAGCCAGAATCCTTAAGCCTGACAGCCAGGAAAAAACCCAAACCAGACAGCATCTGATTTTCAGCCTCCTCATCAGTTTTGGAAAACAGTGACCTTCGCGTCAGCTTCACTCTGGCCTGTAAAGCCCAAGCTCGCAGTCTGTGCCAAGTCCTTCTTACTAGACAGCAGAGAACTTAGATGGGAATGAATCTTAGGAAAGCACTGCAGTAGATCAAAAACAGTGCCTCCCTGAGCAAGAAAGCACTGGCTAAAGAAAAATGGCTTTAATCCTAAAGAACAAAGGTAATTCCTCCTCCTTCCAGGTTACAGAAAGGACTGACGTGAAACAGCATGAGCAGAAGGCAGGGACAGGTCAGCATTATCAGCTAATGAGCACGGGACATCACACAACAACAGCTGCAATTTTAGCAGCGGCCCAAACTCAGGCAACAGCAAGGCTGTGTCCTATGCTACAACGTACTTGATCTCTTCCTGCAATGCTGTTTGCAACAGCCGCAACAGCAGAGATTCCTCTCTCTGACTGGATGCGTAGTTATGCAGCGTGAAGATGGCTGAATCCATGAACTCTGTGGGTTTGTTTTGAGGCATCTGCAAAAGCAGCTTGGCCAAGTACGTTGGAGTAGTCTAAAACAAGAAGAAAAAGTACTTAGTGCACGTGTATAATCAATGACTATTAAGATGTTGTCATTATGAAATAAACAAGAGAGTTTGACAAAGCAGACTAAGCTAACAAAAGGAGAATAAATAGAAGGCTTACCCCTATCCTGGGCTCACTTACAAAACTCCAGCAGAGCAGATCTCCAGACGAGATCCTTCCCCACTGGCAGCCAGCTCTTAAACAGGTCTAGGAGGGCTGTAGCCAGGCTGCACCCCTTCCAGCAGCACAGCTGCATTGCCTTCACCTGTGCTCCTCTGCCTGACTCACTGCTCGCCTCAGGTGATCAATCAGAGGTTCAGGCCATGACTCAGCAGTTCCCATACAGCACGTGTCCACAAAAGCCAACACCACAAAGACAGACAGCGCCTCAACACCGCAGTGCAGAAGTACAGACTGTTCCAATACACGTAAGCATCTATGACAAGAGCAGTGAATGAAAAGCTGCATACCTCAAGTAGAAAAGATGCTGATAGGCTTCCAGCTTTTCCCTCTCCTCTTTGCTCCAAGCTTGCAAACCTCCCTTTTGCTCGTTCAGCGTCACCACGTCACAGAGCTGTTCCTTGTTCTCCTTGCTAAGATTTTTGCTATGAGAAACAACATCCTGCAAAGAACACAGAGGGACAGATTCCACATTTAAATAACACGCAATATGGGAAAAAGCTGCACGATAGCACTTCCTTTTGTGTGGATAAGGCAGTCAAGGTACATCAGGAGATCGTGAAGTGAAACATTATCTGTTGTAGCAGCGATTTCTGTCTTGTCCCCACATTCCAGAATTGGGTGAGAACCTACAAGGACTAATTGCTTTGAGCAGGGACTACTGTCACAGCTGGTAGCGTTCTGAAGATGCTTGAAAATGCCTTTCTTTCTCAACTGTGCTTGAAGCCCCAAGCCCTGTTTCCATTTTGCTGACTCCCTGCCTCCACTGCTCTGATAACGATGATACTTTTTGCTGCCAGCATCAGCCCAAGAGCTGGAGCCTCCTTTGGAACTGAACTTCACTGCTGCCATGGTTCAGATTTTACACAAGGTCAAGCCTAGCGCCACGCTATTCAGGACCAAAGGAAAAGGTGACTGTAACTTCAGCTTGAGTTAAAAAAAGGCACCGCTGTATCAGCAACGTTGTTCTTGTGTGCAATCAATCGTCAGCAAAGTGACAGAGGGGGCTTCCATCAGCCAACCAACACCAAGCAGTCTGAGCACATTTCCTGCTCCAAAATCACCTCCCCCTCTGATACAGCACACAAAACGTGAGAAGAAATTAAGGTGTGCAAGTCCATGACTCACGTAACCACAAGTGAACAGACAAACAGTTCTCAGAGCCTTCAAGCATACCATCTATTGCTTTCCCTTGGTCCCCAGTGGGTTTTTTTCTGGTGCTTTGTTTTTAAAACACTTGAAGCCTTGATGTTTCTGCTGCAGTTCTCTTTCTAGGGATACATAGTAATAAGTGGAACAGTTAGGAACTTACTGGGAGGAAAACCTGTAACTCGGGGGGAAATACTTCCCACTGCATCTGAGTAAGTGAGATCCAGGCTCAGAAGGTCCTCATGCTAACTGCCACTGGCCTCAATTCACTCTGCTCGTCTCCCAGCACTGCATTTCCTACCTGCAGTGTCATTCTGTTCTTCACTAGCAGTCCAATCTTGAGGTCCATGAGATTGAGGTCATTTTCAAGCTGTTGATTAGATCGGATCAAGGTCACAGCTTCCTCACACAGTTTCATTAGCTCCAGCTCCTCCTGAAAATCTGGGTCCGATCGAGCAAGTGAACCAATTTCCCAACCACAGCCGTAGGTGGGTTTTCAGCATTAACTAAAAACAAGAGACAAAACAGCAGAGGACAGGAAACAAATTAATGCATGTGTTACCTCTGTGCAGACAGCATGTCAAGCAGCAGCCAGTCCAGGGTCAAATTAACACCAATGGGCTTGAATAACTCCTGACAGCATCCGGAACTTCTGGCATGGAATAAATCACGACAGAAGTCAACGCTATAGGATGAAGTCAGTATCAGCTTAGGGGAGTCCACCTTGCTGAACTTACCCCAAAGATCAGCGCTCCTATTTCCCAGCAGCAAAAGTACTACCGTGAACCAACTTTGCACAGAATCACAGAATGTCAGGAATTGGAAGGGACCTCCAAAGATCACCTCGTCCAATCCCCCTGCTGGGGCAGGATCACCTAGATTAGGGCACACAGGAACATGTCCACGTAGCTGCTGAATGTCTCCACAGGAGATCCCACAACCTCTTTGGGCAGCCCATCCCAGTGTTCTGTTACCCTTGCCGTGAAGAAGTTGTTCCTCTTATTTATGTGGGACCCCCTATGCTCCAGCTTGCACACATTGCCCCTTGTCCTATCACTGGATGCCACTGAGAAGAGCTTGCCTTCATCCTCCTCACGCTCACTATTCACACATTTATAAACATCAACGAGGTCACCCCTCAGTCTCCTCCAAGCTAAAGAGACCCAGCTTTCTCAGCCTTTCCTCACAGGGAGATGCTCCACTCATCAGGGCAGAGTAGAGGGGAAAGAGCACCTCTCCACCTCCTATCCCTACTCTTCCTCATACACCCCACGATGCCCTCTTGGCCACGAGAGCACAGTGCTGGCTCATGCTCCTCCTACCGCCCACCAGGATCCCCTGATCCCTTTCTCCTACGCTGCTCTCCAACAGCTCAGCCCCCAACCTATACTGGTACTCAGGTTGCTCTTGCCCAGATGCAAGACTCCACACCTGCCCTTGTTCTTTCTCATTCCGTTTCTCCCCACCCAACTCTCCAGGTCTCGCTGGAAGGCAGCACAGCCTTTTGCTGTGTCAGCCACTCTGCCCAGTTTTGTGTCAGCCGGGAGAAATGAGGGCTTCAACTTGGATCAGCTCCTTCTTTCCATCACTGTTGTTATGCGGCAGGCTGTCAGCTGAACCGCAGCCATTTGTGCTTCCCAACAGCTCTCCATTGGTGGAAGCACACAGCCCAGCATCACTACATGCTCTGGCTCTGCTCGGTTGACAAGAGCACGAATCACCTATAAAAGAATGAACAGGGGTTGGTGTCAAACTCTCCCAGGCTGAATTACAAAAGTGGTTCTTGATCAGGGGAGAACTGAAGGTGTCAGGTATGGGCTGGAACGCTAGAAGGGCAATCAAGCCCAGTGACAGCATGCATTCTATGTTGCTGGAAAGCAGAGCTTTGGAAGCAGGATTTGCACTCTTACCTGCCAGCACTACGACTTGCATTTCTGCAGGCTCCCTGGCATTGCACTGCAGTTGGCGTTTGGCCACAGAAGATGGTTTTCCCAGGCTGAAACAGGAACACCAACAGCCAGCTGCTGATTCCTTCAAGGAACGGACGCTGCCGGAGGGGAGAGGTGCTAGGGAGCAGCCAAGGCATCACAGTGCATCCAAAAGCCCTGAAAGGCATCACAAAGCCACCGCCAGGAAGCTTGGGGTCACCACGAGCAGAATCCAAGATGCTAGAGATTATTTGCTACCGTACCAACTGGGACCTGCAGACATCCCAAAGCCAGACAGAATGGGAAATAACCCAGAGCTCTGCTTCGTGCACCCTGCAGCCTCAGCGTTGCCAGCAGAGGTGCCTTGCTGTGTGCCGCATTCATCCCAGTCCTCGTGAATGAAGACTCCACAGGCACTCAAGGCGTTGAGTGAGTATAAGTGCGCTTTTATTATTAAAGGAAAACACAGGAGGGCGTGAGAGGTCCAGGTAAAGATGGGAATCGTCCTCTCTTGGATGGAAAGATCACGTAGAGAGTGGCTCAGAGCTCTCAGAGATGCTGCACGGTGCCTGGGACTGGAGGCCTGATTGTACGCCCCCCTCCAAGAGGCTCTGCTGCTCCTCCTCGCTGATGCTGACCTGCTCCTGCACAGAGGTGTTGCTGTCCGGGCACTCGGACTGTACTTGGGCTGGGCTGCACTGCAAAGGTGCCGGGTCACAGTCCAGGCTGGTGACTGCGGTGCCTGGTGGGCACAGGTCAGCATCTTCAGCACAGCCGGGAGAAATGAGGGCTTCAACTTGGATGAGCTCCCTCTCTCCATCACTGTTGTTACGTGCAAGGCTGTCACGTGATCCGCAGCCATTTGTGCTTCCCAAGAGCTCTCCATTGGTGGAAGCACACAGCCCAGCTTCGCTACTTTCTCCAGCTCTTCTGGGTGGACAAGGGCTCAGTTCATCTAGGAAGGATACACAGGGGGTTAGTGCCAAACTTTCACAAGCTGAATTACAAAAGGGGTTCTTGATCAGGGGAGAACTAAAGGTGTTAGGTATGGGTTGGAATGCTGGAAGTAGATACAAGCCCACTGACAGCAAGAATTCTACGTTGCTGAAAAGCAAGGCGTTGAAAGCTGGATTTGCACCCTTACCTGCCAGCACTACGATTTCTGTTTCTGAGGGCTCCCTGGGATGGTGCTGTGGCTGGCGTTTGGCCCCAGACGATGGTTTCCCCAGGCTGAAGCAGGAACACCAACAGCCAGCTGGTGATTCCTTTATCTTGCTGGGTGGACTTGGTCTGGAGAGAGAAAACAGGGAATGGTGTGAGTTGTGCGTGGCGCAGGGTGAGGGAAGAGCTGCACTGAGCTCGTGCCAACAGTTGCTTGTTCCTAGCACCGCCTGGTTCCTGCTGAAACACAGCTTAGAAACTCGCTCCATTTCAAGCAGTTGAGGATGGTTCCATTCCTATAGCTCAGCCCTGAAGTCTTGCTGGCTAAATTCCCCTCAACTGTGTCAAGCAAGATGCAGAGCATGTGAGGTCCACAGGCTCCACACCTGTACAGGACAGCATCAAAGGGTGGCTTTGATTGAGTAGGCAGGCATAACTGCTGGCTGAGGAATTGCACAGCCATAAAGGAACTTCAAAAGCATCTCTGACTCTGACACTGACAGCTCATCAGCCCATTTCACTGCCATGTCTAGTTTCTAGTGTCAGCAGGTCTGACCAACAGCTCTGCGTAGAGGAGAACCACAACTGGATTCAGGCACGAGGCTCTGAAATCTGGAAAACCCCAACCTTTCCAGGTACAGCCAGCACAGGCCAGGGTAGACGTCAGCGTGGCTTTGTGCATCTCGTCACTGCCTGCCCAGCAAGGAAGGAACGGCACCGTTGTGAGGCTAAACTGAGCCCGGCGGGCAACTCAATGTTAGTTGAATCTCACAGTCCAAAGGGAGGGGAGATTCACTGCAACACTTCAGGCACCATTCATTAAATCTAATTTCCACAAGTTTAGGCACTAGAAATAATGGAGACAGAACAAACACAACCCACCCAAACAGTGATGATAGCTGCTGGAAAACAAAGTCCTCTTTACCTTTCAGGTGGAAAGTCGATGACTGTGTGGAATTTCCCCCGTACAGCTGTGGGGCCTTCTTCCACCTCTATGTCCCTGCTCTCTGTCACAGCGACAGGAGAGCTGCTGTGGCCTCGCCTCCGTGCCTGCGCCTCCTCCAGGCTGAGCAGCTCTGTGGCAGGAGAAGACGCCTGCACAGACTGGGGCCCTGAGAGAGAACTGTGCCCTGGAAGGGAAAACCACAGGTGAGAGCCAGGATCAGAAAGCGGCAGCACAGCCATCGCAGGTCTGGGGGAGCTGCTGTGTTTTCCTCAGACTTGCTTAACCGAGCCACTGGAAGAAGAGCAGCTCAAAACAACCATGTGCTCAGAGGTGTGTCTATGGCAAAGGACGCAGTCATCATTAAGAGCAGCTCCCTGTATCGAAACAGGCAAACAAAAACCCTAGAAAATGGGGGCAGGGAACTGAGAAAGCTCCGCTGCCACACGTTAATCAAGCTTCACCTGCTTGCAAAACATCATAATGACAGTGATGGTTTTTTCTCCTTGTCAAGTTTGGGCTTGCACATTCTCAGCATCCAGCAACTGGACGCCAGATTCCAATCTAAGCCCAGAAGTCTGCTGTTCCCTCGACAGGAAAAGTGTATTTCAAAGGACTTGGAAAAGGCCTGCATTTGATCCAGGTGTCTGACCAAGATAAAGCTAATGGAGGAAGACACTCACCTGCTCCATCTGCAATGTCCGATCCGGATGTGGAGCAGAAGAGGACGTCTGTGTGGTCGATGATGAATTCCACCACAGCCGACTGCGTCTGCAGTTCCGTGCAGGCAGCTCTCCCGCTGGCGCAGGCAGACTCGCTCTGCTGTGATCTGTAGAAAAGGCAGGTTTTAGAAGTCATTCAGCCAAGATCGCTTCCCCAGGTCTGAATTACTGCAGCCCAAAGCTGTCACATTTGTTCTCAGGAGACTTCCGCGGCGGGCATATAAGAGATGCCACTGAAGAAGTTCTCCTGGCTGATCAAGGACACACCAGTCCCATCTAAACAAGAGAGCAGCAATGCTCAGCTAGAAATTGTGCCCACGCGGGGTTGGAGAACAGTCCAGGCTCCTGCTCTGCTGTCAGCCACTCACTGCACATTTTACAGGAGAAGAGCACATGTGGTGCAGAAGAAGGGAGGACTGCTTTATTCTACTGGAGAACAGATGTAAGCGTTCTGTTGAAACGGAAAAAGAAGTTTACCTTAGGAGGTTTGGAGCCCACACAATGGCTAAGTTCTTAGCATGCATGTTGGTGACAGAGCTGTTTGCAGCAAGACAGGCCAAGTGTCTCATCAGGAACACCAGGGTCCTGGGAAACAAGAGAGGCAAATGTTCAGCACCAGCCAGCATGCCGTGCTGCCACTCACAAAGCAAACCTCAATTCACACTAGTTGTTATTACTGCTACTGATGCTGAAGATGAAGTAGATCCAACTTGACCAAGTGCCACGCTGCAGCACCCAGCACCAGCACAGCACAGCCACAGCCATCAGCTGCACCAAGCCTACCCCCGTGCCCAGGAACTGACCCAATAAATTAACCCTGTAAATTAAACCGGTGCAGCCTTCAACCGCTTCAACATACCCAGGCATCGTGTTGCTCACGTGAGACAAAGCCTGGAATCGCACCATTGCCCTCTGAAGTGCAGCAGGGCTGAGCTCAGCAGGCTGAGGGCAGCACTGACCTGTAGTGAGGAGCGGGCAGCTGCTGGATGACGTCCCGCATTCTGACCAGCCGCTCCTCCTCTGTAGTGGCACCAACAGCATCCTGGAAAAGGGCAGAAAGGGATTGAGACACAAATCAGGCGAGATACCTGCCGCAGGGTCGGGAACCATGGGCACAGCGCGCTGCTGGTCAGCACTGAGAAAGATTTTAGGCCTCCCCAGAGGCATCTGGCAAACATAGCGGCACGCAGCTGGTGCCACCACGGCCAAGGAGTCCAAGCACCGGGCCGGTTTACAGCCTGGTTGGGCAGCTCAGCTCCTCGCAGGGGGCATTCATCTCCAAGTACGCTTGGCTATTAATCCCCTTCCTGTTCCAGAAATAGCTGGGGAATAGCAAAATCAAACAAACAAACAAACAACACAGGAATTCTCGCAAGCACTGTGAATATGGAAATAACCACCTCCTGGGGCCACCAGAAGCGGCATCAGCACGATGCAGGATGTGGCAAAGACATGCGAGTAAACCCCATGGGGCTAACAGAAGAAGGGCCTCAGAGCTGGGGCACTGCTGCAGCCATCTCCCAAGAGGCCCAGCAAAGAGGGAAAGGAAAGGCGTTGCCTCGTGCTTACCGAGAACTTGTCGTACAGCTGGTCGGTCAGCAGGGGGGTCGGGAGCTCCCTGAAGTACATTTTGCAGAGGGAGCTCGCGCTGTGAACGTCGCGGACGGTTAGCTCAGGAACCTGCTCACACTCAAATTCCTGGCTGCAGAGAAGGACACGAAAGCGGTTGAGAAAGAGGAAAGCAAGTCAAAAGCCACACCCAATGCAATCAAGAGTTGGAAGGGCTTCCTGATGTACAGGAGAACACAAACACTCGGCCACCAGCACCACGTCAGCCGTGCTGGATGGGATGTTCCCAAAGGAGACCTTTTCTCTGTGCTAAGGCGTTGCCCGCAGGCCTCTGAACGCCCGCAACAGGGCACGTGCCCCTGCTGGCAGCTGTGTCTGTCAGTCGCAGCACTCTTACCGCAGTCTCTGGACGTTGGACGCCACGCCGGACAGGCGGTATATCCCCTGCACCACGCCATGCTGCTCGATGAACTCGGCGCAGCTCTGGAGGACCTGGGGGACTAAAGAACACGTGCCGGCGGTTACTGGAGCTCCTTAGTCAAGTCCTGCCTCAGGCTGCGCTCCCGTCACATCCCATCCACTAAGCCCAGCCGGGCTTGGCTGAAGCAAATACAAACGTGCTTGTCTCTTGGGAGCATTAGCCTCACTTCATCTTTCAGCCATCAACTCCCATTCCCCGTTTCTCCACTGGTATCAACCTGCCCCTTGCTACATACCATCTCCCCTTCATCGTTAGGTTCTCAAACAGGGAAGCTCTCAGGAATGGGCTGTCCCTTACCATCACGACCAGAGTGAAGAAGATGCTCTCCCAGGTCACGGCCGAACACCCTCTCCTTCTCCACCTCCCGCTCTTTCCGTTGCTTTGGGCGGGCCTTCACCACGGAACGAAGGAAGGTGAGGAGCTTGCCGCGCTTCTTTGGCACTGCACAACAAAAGGAAGAAACCAGTTCATCTCAGGTTTGGCTCCGTTGGACGAGGCCGAGCACAACACCTTCTACAGAGCACCTCAAAACGGGAAGAACATGATGAGCAAGTGCGTACCAAAATGGATTTTCCCCAACCCTGGATGAGTCCAAGGCCAGACTGGATGGGGCCCTGGGCAGCCTGGTCCAGTCCCACTTTAAACGTGGAGCTTGGTTGGCAGCCCAGCTTGAGGCAAGGGGGCTTGGAGCTTGATGATCCTCGAGCTCCCTTCCACGCCAAGCCATTCTACAAGGATTCTAGGATTTCCCCAACTCCAGTCATAAAACACAGGAGGACTGGGCCAAATCTCTGCACGTTCTGATGGAGTTGAATGCACTCCTCTTGCTTAGCTTGCTCAACCTGGGCATTAAGGACCCTCTTGAAAAGCCACGTTCTGATCAAGCGTGTCACTAGCACAACCAGACCTCTATCTGTCCACCAGGGACGCTGGCTGTTCTCAGCCTCGTACGGACTTGCCGGAGAACTGCCTTGGCCTTCCCTCCTTCTCACTGCCTACAAAACACCAGCCATACGCCCCGTGCTATGCAGGAAGGATTATCAGCACAGAGGATAAGGGGGGAAGGATAAGGGAGGTATTAAACATGGAACACACCCAAAAAAGACTCCATTTTGCTTCCCTGCACCATCAAATGTCTCATCGTACCTGGCTTTGGCACTGAATTGATGAGAGACTCCGGGATTTTTCCGTTAATGAGCTCCACACACTCACCAGGGAAAAATCCAACCTGTAACAAGAGGAAGAAGAGACGTGCAATACTGAAGGCAGCGTTTCTCAGGCCTGAACTGTTCAAACATCACCTTTTCCTCATCACGTGCCTGCCGGATGCTCCGTAAGACAATCCAACCAAAAAATGGCCTGCTTAAAATTAATAATTATTCCAAATTGGCAGGCAAATATCCATAAAACTGTGTATGGAGCGGGGAAAGGACAAGTATGCTATGCACCCCTAAATCTCAAGCGTGCCCGAAGGGAAAGACTTCATACAGAAGCTATATATTATGATAGATTGATGCAGCTAGATCTGAGTTGGCACAGCCTATGAACTTTCTGCTTGCTGACTGAGATGCAGCTGCCATCCCCAGCTCTGAGCTACCCAGCGTTCTGCAGCCAGCAGCAGCAGCAAGCACGCAGAGGCTCTGTTACCCTGCCTCATCTCAGCTGACAGGCAGCGACTTCCTAAAAGACGCTGACTTCACCTTCTGCATGGGTGCAAGCACAAGTGCTCAGAGACACTGAAACACGTGTCCTAGCTGCTGCATTTCCAAAGGTGCGGTTCAGTGGCCGTGACCTGATGCACGCTGTGAGGGCTCTTCTTTCTAAGTTAACTGAGGAGGCAGTTTCCTACAAAGACCAACTTTCAGCTCTGGCCTAAGCCCACAGCAAAAGGGAAAGTCCTCTGACACCAGCACAAGGAAACCATTTTCCATGTGGAGCCATGCTGTGCAGGCAGGGCAGCTCTAAGCTGAGATTCCTGCCTCGACCGAAGTTGCGCTCTCACGTCTGAAGCTTGGGCCTACCTGAAAGCCGTGCTTGCCTCTCCAGCGGGGGCTCAGCTCCTGAGGCGGCATCTCGATGACGCACACGAGGTCTCCCACCTGCAAGAGATTGCAACGTCAATCCCAGCTTCAGCACGGCTGGGAGGAAAGCGCAGCTCAAATGACTGCATTCTTCTGCACTGCCCAATATCGTCAAGCTTGAGAGCCATTGCACCAGTGCAGCTCTTCAGGCATTTGCAGTCGTACAACTGAACGTGCAAGTAGAAGAGTCACTCCAATACACAACATACAGAATTCAGCTGTTCAGTATGAAATGGTTCTCAGAAGCAGCAGGCTCTTTGCCAAAGGGAGAGCTCCAATTAAACCGCAGGCATAAGTCAGCCAAACAGATCCTGAACAGATCTGCACACTCCATACACTGCTCTGCCATTGCTCAGAGACCAGGCTACCACACTGGGCAGTAGCTCTTGGATCACAAGATTCCAATGCCAAATAGAGCCATAGTTTAGAGATGGCTGAACTCCTCCCTGCATCCAACCCAGTGCAAGTCTAATCTGGAGCCGCATCTTCTGAGCTTCACCTCACCAAACATTCGGAAGGTGTCTGAGAATATTCCTGATAGCTTCACACGTTATACTCTTCTGTACAGGACAACAAGGAACGCCCTTAACTGCTTACCTCCAAGGAGAGTTCACCCGGTGCCTGGGCAACGTATCTCTTAATAACGTGGGCAGCAGCAATAGCTGGGATATTAAGAGATGACTCCTCACGGACCAGCAGGGGCTTCCCGTTGTTCTCAGCCTGAAACAGAGAGCACAGGCCACGGTGAGGAGCTGAGGGCAAACGAGGAGGATTTCAGGCTGAGGAGCATGTCAGCAGAGAAAGCTGCAGGAAGTGCACTCCGTCCTTATCATGGGCACACAAGAAGGAACGGCAAGGCTAAGAACATGCCCGCAGCAAGGAAAGAAAGCCTTGAAGGCAGCTTTTCAGTGACACCGATAGAGCCGCAAGGATTCGCTCTCTTGAAAAGCAGGAGAGCACATCTGCAGCTCACTCTGCTGGCTCAAATCAGGGAACAAAGACCAATCAGAGCTCCACACTCTACCTCCATCCGTGTCATGCCAGGCTCACAGCTGATCTCGCTGCACGCGATGCCCATCACAGCAGGCACGACAAGCTGGAATGAAAAGAAACACGCTCATATTTTCTCTCTTCACACACCACACTATTGAGAGACTTCTTCAGAACTACCCTTGGCTATCCTCTGGCACAGGCGGGTGCTCTAGAAGCAACCACTCTGTTCACTCCGTTCAAATGGGACAGCCCATTAGGCAGCATTTGACCAAGCGGCTGTCCCTCTGCTAGCAGATGGGGACTGGCACAAAGCAGCAGATGCATTCGCCCAGGGCGCTCTGACAGCGCAGCAGCAGGGCAGTGAGAGGAATCATTGCTGCAGGTGCATCTGCTCCCCGGCCCCGGCTCCCAGCAGCCTCACCACCGGCACCTGCTGCAGCCCCGCACATCAAGGATTTCCTCTGCTCGCATCTCTGCTGTGCTCCCTACAGCTGCCGCGCACACTCTCACAGGCCAAGCGTGCGTGCTTGTGACCTTGGGTCACGCTGTGCAGCTCAGCACAAACTGGGCCTAGGACTCTTTGCCTACGGGATTGCTTTCCTTCAGACCAGCTGGTCACAGCACCACACACAGCATCCTCCTGAGGGCGGAGCTGCAGGGGAAGGGAAAAAACCCACACGGGACCAGTGTCCCATCAACGCTGGGTGAGGCTGTGTTACCAAACATGGTGCGACACAGTGCTGGTCAACCACGTGGGGGGACAAAGCGTGGCACGTACCTGGCAGGAGATCAGAACAAGGTAGACAATTCCTTGAACTCGCAGCTGTTTCTTGTCACTTTGCTCTGTGCTTCCACGAGCGAAAGCTGCACCAAGGGAGCGGATAGAGGAGAGAGAAGGAACAGGTCTGTGAGCTTGCACAATGGAGCAAAGATGACAAGGGAAAAGCCACGGGACAAATGCCATCTTTGCGGATCGCTTGGGAATGCAGGTACTGGCTGAAAGTTACGTCTGATGGACAAGAGTAAGCAGTACGAGCTGCTAGGAGCTCCACCAGACAGCAGTTTTCAACAGCTCACTGCCCACCCGTCCATCCCACGCTGTCTCAGCTTACCTACAAGATGCTGCACAAGACGGGGTGAAAAGGAAGGCACTCAGTCGCTGCACAAGGGCAACAAGCGAGCTACTCACGCAGAGCTCAAGCGCTCCAATGAAGGGACGCAGCACGCACTGCTCCTCCCCTCATTCCAGCCTCTTGTGACATCACTAAGGGCCACCAGGCTGCTCCGCCATGACGACAGGGTGGGGAGGCAAGACCATGTCACACGACCAGAAGATTCCAACACCGCACCCAACATTCTAGAATCAGTGGGCCCTTGGAATTCTACCTCAGCCCAATCCTGCACAAGCTGCCATGCGGTTGTCATGACCACAGCGCAGGACCCAGCGCTTGCTCCTGTGCAGCCTCGTACGGCTGGCCTCAGGCCGTCCCTCTGCAGGGCCTTCCTGCCCTCGGGCAGATGGACGTTGCTTCCCAACAGCGTACCTCGCAGCGCAGGGCCTATGTACAATCCACACTGCAGTCCTATAGATCTGTATCAAGCTATCTATACCCAGACACACAGTCACCACTACCATCTTCTTTCTGAGTCTTGAGGTACGCCATTCAGCGGTTTCATTGCCATCAAACAACCCCACTGACGGCACACTGCTGACACAACGTCCTTGCAAACACAGCAGCAACTCCTGGCACCGACAGCTCCGGGTACAACAAGCACAGGGCTCTGGGTTGCTTTGGATGCAGTTGCAGCATGGATCTGAGGGCTTTGTGGAAGGGGATATATTGCAAATGGCACCGACGTTTTCAGACCATTTCTCTTTCGGCATGGTCCCAGCACCTGGCATGCTGATCATCATCCTGAATATACATTTTGTCAAAGTTCTACAACTAATGAAATAGTTCCTTACCAAACGCAATCTGATCACTCTTCTGGCCATATTTTGTTCCAGCTACCGCTTCCTGCGGGTGGCACCAATAGCGCTGCATCACCTATAGCTCTCTGCTCTTACAGTTCTCATGCTGTCTGGGCAGTCCTCGTGGCCTCACAACTCTCTCATGCCACACGTGCCACATTCTGAGGCACAGAAGATATATCGCACTACTTCAAAACGCCTTTTTTTTTTTTTAAATACAATGATACTAGGGATAATCATCTGGAGCTAGAGCATTATAAAAAAATTCCCTTTAGTTCAACCATAAGTCTGCCCCATGGACTCCAGAAGAGCTCTAAGAACATGCAGCCTGGACATGGATGGCAGCTACCATAACAGTAAGCAATGAAAAATGAGGTGGTGAGCCATGCTGTGTCATTGCATCTGCGGGCAGGGATTCTCCTTGGACTGAGCAGAGTGCAGATGTCGCCTGAGAAAAGAACTTAGGATCATTCAGGAAAAGCAAATGAGTTGAGTAATTAATTGAAGAAACTCACGTTCTAAAGGTACTTAGAAGGAGAGAGTATTTCCCAACAGAATGGGTTTAACTGTCTATTCCCTGTTTTGCTAGACAGGTCTACTCTATGGATGCTTAGACTGACCTGAGAGGGCATGCTTCAGCACACCCCACAATTTCCAGTTTCCACATCGTCCAGGCAGCGCAAGTGCGGTGTACGTCTCCCTTGGCACAGACATCAAGCTTTTCTTCCTGTGCAATCAACTAATTATGACGGGGGAAGGGGACAGTACAGGCCTCACAAGAGAAGAGCCTGGCGGAACGATTTTAGAGCTGGGAGTCAGGCAAATGACTCGGCTCAAGTGCACCTATACCAATGCACGCAGCATGAGCAACAAGCAGGAGGAACTGGAAGCCATTGTGCACCAGGCTAACTACGATCTAGCTGCTGTTACTGAAACATGGTGGGACTGCTCCCATGACTGGAGCGTTGAGATTGATGGCTATAAGCTCTGCAGAAGGGATAGACAAGGAAGGAAGCCAGAATATTCATCAATACTGAATTGATCCTGCAATTCAGGAACCTCACAAGCAACCTGAAATAAGCGTCTAAAAAAAAAAAAAAAAAAAAAAAAAGAAAAGAAAAAGGAGAAAAAGGTAATCAGCATACCAGCAGCTGTTCTTCTTCAAACCATGGTTCCCAAGCATACTGCAATTGGACAAGCTATAGCTTATCACATCAAAAGCCATCTAGAAGATTCAGTTATTGGTACTGGCCATGTCGGCATTCGCTCACTGTAAGCATCTGCAGGACAAGTCCATGGACCGAATGACCTTGTGCACCCATCCTTCTGTCTCAGCTGCAAGAATAATCCTCACTCCCAGCCATTTCCAGTTTTCTTTCTTACAAAAGATGAAAGATATAAAGAAGCTCTTCATTCAAAAGTTACTTGATTATACAAACAACTAAATTCCAGCCTGCTTTAATCCAAAGTGCCATCTAGTTTGCATACAGGGAACTAGGGTGCATATAGGAAAGAACGCACGCACACTCTAGTTTTCAATGGCCAGAATATCATAATAAACACAAAGAAAAACAGCCTTTACTCTGGAGGCTTGTATGGCAAAGCCAATTGTTTGGACCAGCTCATTAATATACTATATCTAGTTTGTCAATTCCAGCTACGTATTTTATATGTCATTATGATCAATGATTGTGGAAGCCCAAAGGGCAATCTCTCATTTTCAACAGACCTCCTTTTTGACTGAGATGGAATTTATTACATTTAAAATTCATCACTCCTCTTTGTTTGCAACACTGTCCTCTGACAAACTCCTCAACACAATCAGCTCAAGTCTTCTACCTGAATTTCTGGGATGACTGTGACAAGTATTCCTTCACGATGCTCAGATGTGCACCGTCTCCCATGAGCATCTTGCTGGACGCAGCATGCTGCAGCATCTTTGCAACAAACCAAGGTGTCAACGGTTTATGGGCTGGTCCGGCCCAGTTCCGTGACCAGCAGGGCGGAGGGATCTGCGGATCCGCGCCTCTGGAAAAGGGGAAGCAGGGGACCCCAAAATACTTGAAAAAAACAACAGCACTGATCTGAGGTGGAACAAATGATTTTACTAAATATAGTATTAGTAAACTACAAAGAGAGAGAGAGAGAGTCTGTTTGAATTGTATAGACCTCACCACAATCCTGGGGTGAGAAGTGCAGTCCAGTTGAGTGACTGAAGTACAGACGGCGAAGTGCAGATGGCGAAACGCAGGCGGCGAAACGCAGGCGGCGAAGCGCAGACAGCGAAGCGCAGACAGCGAAGCGCAGACAGCGAAGCGCAGACAGCGAAGCGCAGGCGAAGAAGAAGGCTCAGGTGACCTTGCATGGAGTTATATCCCCTTGCTGACCGCAAAGCCTCCTGGGGAAATGTAGTTCTTCTCCGACGGACGAACATTCGGCAGATATCAAACCCCACCCCCAGTGCATTACATGATGTTATGGTGTGGAATACTGATGACCAAAAATCATAAAACCATGACATTCCACCCCTTATTCTACATCACTACATCATGCTTAACACATGGGATTACAGACTGCACTCCCCCAACATCAAATTCCCTTGTGGTACACACTGAACATCCCCGTTTTTCTGCATCACCCACCAGGTGGACCCAGGTCCCTGGGCAAAGACAGTTCCGCGAAGAGGTTTGCCCTTCCCAGAAGGAGGAAAAACCCAAACTGCTTTTCCTAACATGTTCTTTACATGTACTACAGG